CATTACAATTGTCAATTGATAACTTACTTGTAAAAAACTGAAGTCATTAAGATATTTTATGAGTAAGATTCTTGGGTAGCTAGTATATATTTGTTCATGGAAGTACAGTGAGTTCTGTGTTTTACAGGCAGATGGATGATAAACTGTTGGTCAAATAGCTCACAATATATAGCATAAACTTTACTGAATTATGCTATGTAATTTTGAGTCTCCCATAGTACTCTTAGAGAGGACATTGACTTAAAGAGAAGAAAAAAAGAGGGACACATTACCAGATGGGAACAGAGAAAACTTTAAAAAGTTTTTGTTTTTTAAAGGAAGACAAAGGAAGTTGTAATCCTAAGAGTAAATTTTCTTAAGGACTTCATTGTGGTAGAATATTAAGCTAATGATTACCAGTGAAGAAAACCTTGAAGCAAGTGAACTGCTTTCAAAAATTGGATTTACATGTATACAAAAAAATGTTCTCATGTAAAAAACTATCTGAAATAAAATAAATAAACTACTTCTGAAATTTGTAAGAAGAAAATAATGTTAGCAGTGTGCATGGAATCAGGATTCCAGCACAATCTTCTTTAACTCTTTTCCTTGTGACTAGGGCACAAAAAATGAGAGCAAAAATGATTGTTTCAGAAATTCTTTTGATTCTGACAATCTGGAAAACTACAAAAACCTGTTTTTTAACCAGACATTCCAGAGGCTGTTGTTTCTGATCTATGTTTAAGAGAAACCTAACTTCTGATAAAATTAAATAAGGGTTATTTCCAAGTAGCTCTATCGTGATATAAAAACATGAATTTCTATTTCTTACAGCTGAGAAACTGACTTGCAAGCTCAGCATTCCAATCCCAAAAACTCACAGCATGTGGCACCAAGCAGCATATCAGTTTGAGACAAAAGATCAGTTTTGCTTCATTTCTTAATGTGTAAATATAGTCTTGACTCTTTCTTTGAAGTGAATAAAAAAGTATTTTATTTGGAGTTAAATATTTTGATTTTCAAATTTTCTTCTTTTCAGGGAAGTTTGACACAATGTCAAAGTAGCAGTTGTGTTTTTTTCATAAATAACTATTCAAAATACTTCCAACAGAATTTGATTCTTTATTTAAACTAGGGCAGTTCATTTCAACTTGGTGAGGCAGGCCTATGTCTATAAAACCATACCATGTAAATGAGGAAAGCATGTCCAAGTGGTTTTTTTTAGTCTATTTCTGAATTAAAAAAACATGTTAAATGAACCTGTGATGAGACCTTGAGCCAGTCAGAATGTCTTAGTAAGTCTAACATTGCTTGAAGCAAATATAACAGAAGCCACATGAAATCTTGCATACTATTAAGTTAATAAAAGACAGAATCAAAACTAAAGATAAGTAGAACATACCTGCTAAGGTACACGATAAAAACATAAGTAAAAAAGAAACCTCCCAGTCCCTTCTGTCCTTAAAGGACTGTCTCTCCTCCAGCCTAGTTCTTGGTGCCTATGACAAGAAACTTTCTCACTGACACCCTTGAGTCTTGCCTACATTTCTACTTCTTGCTTCTCCCCAGAGAGATCATAGGAATTTTTACTGCTTGTTTGGGTTACTTACTTTTTTAGTCTCCCCATGGCACTTATCCAGCAGGAGCCTTGTTCAGCTGACTATGCTTTCTAAGATGGAATAACATGTTCGTGATAGGAATCAAGGTACAAGGTCAAGGCAGTCATCTCACCCAGTTCCAGACTACTGGCAGCAAATAGCACAGGCTAATCAACAACAGACACTATTAATCATATTTTGGCACTATATGCAAACATATATTGCAATGGATTTTGTTTTAAGAATTTATTATTTTCAAAATTAAACTTAATGTTGTCTATACTGCAAAAGGAAGAAAATAAGTGATAGTTAAAGTAGTCATAGATGTTCAGCTTCATCCGTCTCACAGATCTTCCATGACTGAGTAATCTGAGCATGTAGTTACCTTGATTTGATAACTCACTGTTTACAACTTTACTCTTTACCTCATACTCCATCAGACTATTGGGTCTATCCTCAACATAAAATGACCTGGTGCATTGTATTGGTAAATATGTACACTACCACATCTTCTGCTCAGTTACTAGATAATAATAAGGTAAATATTGATATCTAATTTCACCAGTTCTCAGAGTCTTTATATAAATGTCTAACATATCATTTAGTCATCTGCAAGCATCACCTCTCCAATTCTGATGACTTTTTTCATTAAAAACTCCCCCCAAAAAATAAACCAAAAAACCCCCACTAAATAAATCTTAGCATTAAAGTAAAGTTTGTTGCTTTTATAAGTACATTAACATTAAATAACCTAACATGTAAGATAGAAACAAGCATCACCATTAGGAAAGCTGTAATAGTGGTAGCTTGTGTAATTTGACAAGAAATTATAATTCTTTTTTATAAAAAATACATGACCAATGACCTAGATGATTGCAGAGTATGCTATAGATCATTCACAAACTGGACAATTATGGAAATATCTAATCATTTGGGATTGAAAATCATGTCTAAAAAGAACATTTCAGTGAATCCTGGGAAATGCATCTAATCAGTCTGAAGGATATTTTAGAGGATGTTCCTCTTATGACCAAATGAAGGGGAGTGGATCTTCTTTCTTTTTACTTTCAGAGATGTTTAACTCTCAGCACTTCAGGGAAAATTCTTACATATTTTACAATTGAATTTTTGTCTATATAACTCAAAACCTATTAGAAATTAAGTTTAAGTTAGAAATATGTAATGAGGATACACAACATTTTTTGGGTCTCACTCATGCCTCCTTGTAGTGGTTTGAACCTTGTTTTCCCCCAGAGGCTCAAAAGTGGTAACCCCCAGGGGTGCAAACCCCTGGAAGTTTTGAAGTTCTGCCCAATGAGCGCTCCTGCAGAAATGTAAACATATCACAAGCACCGGAAGAGTTGTAGTTGGGTTGTTAGAGAAGTAACCATTGTTGTAGGAGCCACGAGGAAAGGGGTCCGGAGCCCCTCGGGGCCTCTGGGGCCCCCCAGCCCCAGTTGAGGGCTACAGGGACCTGGAACAGCATAAAGCTTTATGTAGTTGTGAGCTGGGAGATGTTTTCTCCAAACTGGGCAACGGCCGGAGAAAAGCAGCAGCCAAGCTGGCACTGACCAGAGAAGCGGTGGCAGAGAGCCAGAAGAGATAAGATGGAGCAACAGAGACATGCAGCACCGCAGAGAAGACACCTGGAAGGAGAGTTGAGGAGAAGAGAGTCTGCAGCAGAGCTTCGGAGTTCTGGGGGTAGGAACTGTACCAAACCCCTAAAACTCCTTTGAGACCTCCTGGAAAGGAGGAAGATGATGGACTCTTACTTGAAAGAGCCTTGAAGTGCAGCATGCACTGCAGAGAGGAACTGAGAAGCTCAAAGGCGTCCTGAAGCTGGACCAGGACGGAGAAGGAATGCGGGGGGGGGGTGGTTGACCTTGACCCCCCTCGCTGCTGCTGCTAAGCTAGCAGCCTTGAGACAGAGCACGGAGCTCTGCAAAGGGGAATTTGAATCCCCTGAGGAAGGGACTTTCACGAAGATGCCCCTGCATTTCATGATATACCTGTGGTGACGTGAGTCTGGTCCCTGCTCACAGTCCACAGGTGAGGCTTTCGCTTGGACCGAAGGAGAGCTGAGGGGTTTGGAGACCCCCTTGTGTGTATTGAACAGAGATCCAGCTACAACAATCCAGTTACTGTTGCATGCATGAGATGAGAAGACCTGCTGCCTTAGAAGAAGCTGCTGCCCTGAGAGACTGGAAGGGATCTGTCCTTCTTTCCCTCCTGGACTTTTATTTGGAGGGGAGAAGAGATCTGATCCATTGTAAATACAATATGTCATGGTAGAGATAGTTGTGATTTTGTGTATAATGTGTTATAGTATTTATTTGTACAGTCATTGTAATATATTCCCTTTCCCCCATTCTGAGTCTGGTTGTGTTTTGTCTGGAAAAACCCATCTCACATTAGGTTGAGATGTGGGAGGGGGGATGGAACTATAGAATTAGATTTTGGAGCTATCTCAAACCATGACACTCCTAAACATGCAGATGTCAGCATTGCTTATCTGTCTTGTTTAACTGTTAAAGAGGAGCACAAATGATAAAGAAATATCAGACACGACATTTGCACAGGGAAGGTCAGTCAAAGTGCATCTGGTCACCAAGTCACATGAATTCTTTCTATGTTCTACTGGGATCAGATTTACAGATAGCAAAAGATATCTGTCTGCTTACATGTTCTAATCAATCCCTTCTTTTCATAAAATAAAGATCTGAAGAAAAAAATAATTTTTTCTTTTTTTTTTCTGAAACTCTTTACGGAAACAGTAAGTAGTTGAGAAATATGCCATTGCTAATAATTCAAATTGTTTATTAGATATAGTAGAACGTAAACAATAGTTGCATTGTATGATTTTTTCCCCCTTTAACCACTTATGTATAGTCAAATTACTTTTTCGTAATATGGTGAAGTAGAATAGTTGAATGGTCTGCTATAAATATGAAGATCAGAACTGATTTAATCGGTGTTGCAGTTAGTGTTTTTTCTTTACATTTTTCTTTGTTTCATCTTGATTGTTTACTAGTGTTATTGTAAGTAAAACAAAAAGATAAATGATAATAACAGCATATACATGCAAAGGAAACAAAACAAAACAGGAAAGAACAACGTCAAATAAATTTAAATAGATTGAAACTTAAATTTATCCTGTGAGGGCTGAAGGAACAGGATTCACAGTGTAAATCGGAACTTATCTTCAGGGTTATTGGAAAATTCATGTACATGTTGTGAGTAAGTTGGTCCAATTTCATTTATTTTGGCCTGTTATCTTTATAAAACCCATTGAAACCCTTCCTATGAATGCCATTTCATTATTTTATGTTTCAGTATGGATAATTTTCAGGTACTTTACACGAAAGATGTTTTATGGAAATAAAGTGACTTGAATTTATCATGGAAGAGTAGGGGAAAACTTACCTTTCAAATGATTTGGATTTTTCCCATTAGAATGTAATAACAGCTGGTTTTCAATGTTCTGATGCTTCCTAGTATGTGCTGCCAAAAAAAAAAATAAAAAGGAAATGCAAATCATAAACAAAAATGTTTGTTTCTTCTATTATGTTCCTTTTATAGCATCTTCTTTTTACTTTATTTCTACCCAGTCATTTCTAGATGCTGTTTATGAACGAAGTGTATATTTAATGTACACCTATTGCAGAGGAATTAACAGCTAATATTAGAGAGACGCATGAAGACGAATGGAATGTTAATCAAACTTGTATACCATGTGCAAGTTCTTTATAATTTTTCAGTTTTAACAGCTTTATTTCAAACAATGTTTCAAACTTACTATCTCTGTCTCTCAAGGTTCTGCTATGCTTTGGGGCTTTTGAGTATTTTTTTGGAGGAAAGGGAATTTTTTTCTTTTGTAAAAGAACCTGGAGCTAATGGTCTTCTGTTATGCCTCACGCTTTCGTAACTTCCAGTTAATCATTAATCCTTGAATAGTGGTCTGAACTTTGGTCATTATTACTTAAAAAGTCACAAAGAATGTTAATGAAATCTAATAAACATCTAGATTGCCCCCAGAAATCATGGCTCCTAGAATAAATAGAGAATAGTGCTTGACAGTCTACAGTAATTCATATTTATGAATGAAAAAGAGTAAAGTAGTCTGCCTACATGATTCCTAACAGGTAATGTCACTAAAAATCTATGAGAAAATATTTATTTCTGTGCTATCTCCTGATGTAAATATTACGAGGGAGGGAAAAGAACACTTATCAGCAATATCTGTGGATGAAATTCTTATTAGGGAAGGGTGTAGATGAGCAAAGGTGAAACAGTCAAATTTGCCAAATTGGTGTCAGAAATAAAGGACTGTGCTATTTCTTCAGATATTTAAATTTGTCACCAACACCACAGCATTGACGAAATCTGCTTAGGCCAGTGACAGCTTTGTTTGCTGCCTGTTGCATGACATCTGCCCCTAAATTTTCAAGGCAATACACAGAAATATAGCTTTCTAACTCCCATTACAGTCCAAAGAAACTGCTGCTGACCTGGAACCCAGTATTTCACAAAAAATTACCTAGAAGCTATTGTGCTTCTTTTGTCAGTGCTATACATCGTAATTAAGAACAGATTGTTATTAAACCAATAACTTTATCTGTGTGACACATATTGTGTATTTTCATCTATTACAAAATACAGTTGAGAGAGCAAACATTATACCTGCTTCAGTTATAGGTCCAGGCTGTGGTTCACAGGATGAAATGTTTGCCTTAGACAGTAATGAGTGTTGCCATTGAGAAATGACCTCCAGAATAGCAATATAGTTTATGCACTACTTCATATACCACAGAATAGTCACGGTATATAGCTTTACTCTGTGTCTTGTGATAAGGTATCCATTGTTTTCAGGTTTCTGATCTTTCTCAACACAAAACAAAGCAATTCTCTGTAGCCTGTTTTAGTGTCAACATTATTGACTGCTGCAAGTTGAGGATAGGAAAGAATACACATACCTACATTAACTTCTTTTTATACCTCAGACTTATACTTTAAGGTAGGAATAGACAAGAAGGAAAATTTAGCAAAGTGGTTACAAATCATCCTGGAAGAATGAGAGGATCCTGGTGTCGGCATGTACATGTCAGCCTTTTGCTGGCTGGACAACTGAAACCAGTCCTGAGAGAGGTTCAGTGGTGTTTTATTGCTAAAGGATGAGACAGTTCTAGATATATTTACTTAACTCCAGACATTTATCTGAGCTCTCCAGGAGATGAGTCTTGCTGCTCTGGGGTCTACTACTTCCTGTTATGAAAAGAACCACATCCAAGTCATGACTTGGGACAGCTCAGTAACTAGGTGCTGCTATTTATTTCCATTTTGAAAGATCCAATTATCTGACTATTGGAAACTTACTTGCCTTGGCAAGGTAGAATTAATCAGGGTATGTTTTTAGACATCTGAGAGTAATTGAAAAGCCAGTCTTCCTAAGTTGGACTACAGTCATCTTCCGTAAGTCACTGGTACATACTTATATCTGCAATAAAATTAATGGGCTTTGAATGCCACAGATGGTCATTCCTATCAAACTCCACATTTTAAAAATTACTAGAAGTATAAAGCCAAAAGCAAAGCTTAGCTACTCTTAATATAATAATCTTTAGAACTCCTTTTGCAGAATATAAAGTGTTTTTTGACAAATGGTAATGTAGTGTCCTATATTTTCCCTTGTTCTTCTTCTGTCCAGCCTCTTTTCACTTGGTTCTCCCAGAAAATTTTTCCCAAATAACACCACCATGTCGGAGGACAGAAATTGTGTGAACAATTTCTATTGCGTTTCTGAGACCTTCACCTTGGCATGGTTTGGTGCAGACAGTAAAAGACACTGCGCCACTGGTATGGCTGCAGGCCTTGTGCCAAGGTGAAGGAGGAGTTGTTCTGTCAGGAAAACAAGTTTTATGGACACCTACTGTTATCCAATTAGTACTGTACACCACAGTATGTTTTCCTTATGTATCCAATGTAACCTGGGGAAGAATCACATGTCTCTGTGCCACGGGCAGTATATAAGCTGCCTTTCCTCTAATAAAGGGGACATTTTTGCCAATCATATTGATTTGTGTGCAATTCTGTCCGAACCTCTCTGCCGATACCACCATACTTGTATTTATCTCTGAAAACAGAAGAGAAGGAAGATGAAGGGAAGGGGATGATGAACTTTCAATCAATTTGATTTTCATTCCAAAAGTTCATACTTCTGACTGTAAGTGAATAGTGTAGTTTAAGTTACATTTCTGTCAGCTTGTGTTATGTTGTTCTGGTCTGATGTAACATGATGTGATCAAAATAAACATGAATTAATCAGACATTTATATTTGCCTTTTTTAATCTGACAGAACTGCTTTTATGCTATATTAAGAGCAAAGCTACAGAAATACGAAAATTTAAGCCACTTGACAGATTTTTTAAAATTTTGAAACATTACTTTAAGCATTTATAAACTTAGTTTAAAATATTTTTTTATTAAGTCAAGTCTGCTTCTTGTTCATGCCTGTGCATATTTTCTCAGGAAAATTAATGAGAAAATGGACTAATTGCATTCACTGTCACATAAATTTTGAAATCAGAAGAGGACTAACAGTAAAATTTTCTGCTCTTAATATTCTATACTTTAAAGGAATGCATTTGGTTCTTCTACAATTAATACTTTTAAAAGATAATGACATATTAATTGTTCCAAGAAGTGTTCACATTGAATCACACAGTGAAGCAAGGATATATAATGGTAGGTTTAATGCTATAAAAATGATGTGATTACTGAGAGAACCTGAGAATTATGTTTGTCGATTTAAATGCAGATTTATCAATACTGATCACGTTTTTACCTACCTTTAAACTTCATTCAGTACGAAGAAGGTATTTGTGGGACATATTCTTCTTTCATGCTTTACACAAAGAAGGAAGCAGGAAGCTATCTAACAGAGTGAAAGGGAGACAAATCACAGTCCAGAGCCATTGTTTCCTCTGAATAGAATATGTTGGGCTTTAACTAATAGGACAAGAGAGTATATTGTTTTCACATGCACTGCACTTCTCAAGAACAAGGAATCTTGCCTATTTCAATTCAAATTAACATATTTGTTTGAAGGTGAGATATGATACTGATCCTATGCCTTTTTTTTTTCTTGAAACATGTGCATATATATATATACACAACTGTAAAGAAACCACACACGTGTGTGTTTTTTCTCTGTGCTTTTAAATAAGTGTAAATACAGCAGTACATTTCACTATCTCCTCACTGAAAACAAATCAAAGGATTGCACTGACACATTATTTAAATAAATCACAGTATTCCTTAGTCAGTGAGCAAAATATCCAAGTACAACTTGGATCTTTGAAACAGCCAATTTCCTTGAACAAAAAAATGGGGATCCAATGACAATACAGAGAGGTTGCTGCTTTTATAAGTGAAATAGAATGAATACGTTTGGCTTAGATATAGGTTATATCTATGGAATAAACGTCTTTCCATTCAGATATCTGTGGTTTCAGTATGTCTACTGAAGTGAATAACTCCAAAACTCTAAGCACTGAGCCTAAGCCTTTTCTCTCTAGAGTATTCATCCATAATTCTGCCAACTTGAACTGCATGGAGAAACAAGTAATTACAAATTGTACCACAATTAGTTTATATATGGGAAGTATAGATCTGAAACTAAATTTTCTAATCAAAGCATTACATTCTGAGCCAGCAACAAATTAGTTTGATTAGTTATTGTGCAAACTGTTGGCCTAAGAAGCCATCTGTAAATAAAGACAATTGGAAAAATATTGGAGATTATAAACAGCCATAATGTTAACTTGCTTTTGCATTTTCTCACCATGTAGTGCCAATGTGACACTGTAGAATCTGCAAAGTAACAGTGCATTATGAATATGTAAATATGCCAAATATGCTTTAAGCTCCAGTCTGGCATGTTGATAAAACAGAAAGTTACTGCACGCTCTGAAACTGAACATTAAGCTCTCTACATTTGCTAACATTAATCCAAGCTACTCGCTGTACTGCAACTTGAAAGATGTTCAATTAAAACTCATTCTGCCTGGTATAAATTACTATTATTATGTTGTGAAAGAAAACCTGAAAATATCTGCTAACTTGTTATATGTGCACTGCCCTTACTCTCACCTCACCTCCCAGTCAGTGATTTCAGAAAATTGCCTTTAGTTATTTAAAATTCTGTCATGAGCTGGTTTAAGAAAAACAATGAAGAGCTGAATACATGCATAATTTTTTGAGAATTTCATACTTTAGGCTACTGGATAATAACTGTTGGCAATAGCTGTATTTTGAACATTTATTTTTATTTCCAGGATGGAAAAGCACATACACACATATTTTATTAGACTGATAATCATTGCTAATGTCCATTGATTTGTCTTAAACTATCATAAGAATAATCAGATACAAAGTGACTTTAACATCTCAGGTAATATAAAAATAATTAATTCACGTATTACTTTGATGAGAAAAAAAAAAAAACCCACACAATGTTGCAGTCATTCTCACCAATTTTTTAATAGTCAATAAGTTGAACTGTATAGATGAGCTATCCAAGCATAAATTCTGTTATTCTCAGACAAGAAAAGGTACATGTAAATACCTAAATTATAGTCTGATCGCAAACAAACTGATTATTTGTTTGTTAAAAATGTCATATTAATCCCATGGAAAGTTCAGTATTAGCACAGTTAAGGCATATTTGAAAGCACTAATTCAGAAAAGCTCTTGTAAATACTGATAAAACTAGGCAAGTGTCACTATATTCTATTTCCATAAAAAATATTCTAAACACCCCAAATTTCAAAGTTAGAAAGGTCCTTAAACTCATGTCTAACAGATATATAGGTAATTTTACTATCATCCACTTGTACTTAATAGCAAGCATATGCC